AACGACATTATTAATTAGAACATGATTAAGAGCTAGAATAGTTAGTCATTACCTTGGTAAATTAGAAAGGCTCATTATTACCTTCAGAGTTTAAATAATTTTGAGTGTTTGGATTCTCAAACAGTAGGGGTATCTATCTTCATTCTTATTCTGAGCAAACCATGTTCCATGAAGTATTTACCTCTTCATTTTCTATAATTTCCCACTCATTAGGGTAACATATATCCTTTGCTCTCTTTCATATGAATGTTTAAGTCTTGACACATGGTACAGAGCTGGTTCAAGGTAGGAAGAAATGTTTAGGAATAAACTAACCTGGTTTACGTTGTCTGTAGATTCAAATAATAATAATGGCCAGCGTCTATTCAGTGCCCACTAAATGTTTCACACGCTATTTCACTGACTTCACATAACAGCAACGCAAGGTAGGCATTTAATACCTCCTCTCACAGATGAAAAACCTAAGGTTCAGAGACATTGTGCAACTTTCCCAAGGCCACAGGGAAACTAAGTGGGGGGCCCATTCCACATAGAAACCAGTATTTCATTTTCTGAAATAAGTGAAAAGAATTATGCACCCATAAGACAACGGATTGTCTTTTGGAAATATACATGTGTCTCCTGTTTGTCTTTCAAGAAGAAATATGTATTTGTGTGTGTGTGTGTTTGTGTGTGTGTAGGGTTGAGTAAGTGTGTAGAGAAGAGTGGGATTCTATAGGAAATCACGTGTCTCAATAATTTTAAACAGCAGAAAATCCAAAATGTATTTCTATTTGCCTAAATGAGAAATTTCAGAAGCTTACTCACCATTCTGTTTCATTAATTAAATCACCAAATATTTTATAGGGATATGTTCTTGGCATGTTGTCTGACTTGGAGGTACAAATAATATGCAAACGAGTAGAAAGCTTGATGTTCTAGAGCTTGGAGTGTTTTGGTAATCTTACTACCGACTTTTGTCAAGTAACAATGAGAAAAAGTGACCCAGGATTTACTGGGACGGAGAACGTCTACCAAGGCTTCAAAATGCTCTTGAGTGATCTCTGTAGATATTCGCTGAGAGACTCTCTGCCTCGCCCTCCTAATTAAAATCTGCCTGCACCTGGAATCTAGTTTTGCTGAGTCATATCTATTCCTTCCGGACTTTCGAATGAGGAGGTAAAATGCTTGTGGTTACTGGTTCCTTCATGCCGCAGGAGAGAACTATTACCAGGTGGATATTTCCCTTCAGGAATTCGTCATTTTCCGCAATTAATTCTTCTGGTCTTGCCATGCCCAGCAAAAAACATTTTTCCCCCACAATTACTTTGTTTTTGTCAACATCTAGCTCTGTTTCTTGGCCCTCTAGGCTATTTCAAAAAGCAGAGTCGCTCCATCATAAATCTGAAAGACTATGCTCAGTAAATGAGAAGTTTGATTTGGATTTAAGAGTGAAGCCAAAGAGGAAGGAATTGCTCTTATAGGACAGTAGTAGAGAGTAGACCTGAGTTTGAATCCTGCTCTGCTGTGTGACCTTGACTATATTATATTACTTCTTCGAGACTCAAACTTCTTAATAGGGTGACAATGCTATTACTTGTCTCCCAGGTTTTGCATGAGAATTAACAAGGTAAGGCAGGGAAAGTGTTTATTAAAGTGTTTGGCACATGCTGGAAATTTTACAGAGGGCAAATATAAACAAGTAATATTAATGCATGTGTATAATATTTGTCCTCAGTGTCACAAATTACTCTTCCCTTGAATATTCTCCCATATTCCGTGGACCTCGTTCCCTTTACCGGTAGGATTTGTAAACATGTGATAAAACTTAATTCATAGATAGCATTGAAACAAGAATTTATAAACTGAAAATCCACCTAACTGCCCTGGTGATTTTCTGTTGCCAAGCAACCACATAGACTTTTTTCTCCCAGCAACTTATCTGTGTAACGTCACTGTTCATACTGACCACAAACCAAAATACCACATGTGAAAAAAAGCAGTTAATTTAACCACTCTTTTGGCTTTGGACATTCAAGAGAAACTAGTTTGATTCATGTTTTCAGAGAATTATCATAAGTGATCACTTTTGCTTGGTGTGTGTGATCCTTGGTTGTTAAAGTTGGAGCACATTGAAGTCATCTGGGGAACTTGAAAAAAGATTTCAATTCTTTGACTCCATCCCAGAAGATTCTTATTCAGGAAACTCGGGGCTGAGAATCTATCTTTGCACAAGTTTTCCAGGTGGTTCTAACGTTCATTCAGGTTCGGTAACTACAGGTATGGAAATATAGGTATTTGTCCGTTTTTTAGCTCTGCCAGTGATGTAATCACTTTGTAACGGCGGGGAGTATGATGAATGTCTAGAAAGATCTTGATTATGAGCAAATAAACAACCTTCAGTTATAACAAGTTTGTTTTCTTTCTGTTTAAAATATATATTTCTGACTATTCAGGAACAGAAAAATGTTTTTATTATCCAAATCAAAACACAGCATGAGGTACTTTGCAATAAAATCAACTGTAGATTATACACAAGTCAAAATCATCTGCCTGTTTATGGAGTTCAAAATCCTTCTAGGCACCAGGAAAAAAGTTTAATTTAAGATTTTAATCTTTCCATATATTACAGGGTTTCTGTAATGGATTTTGTGCATCTGAAACTAAAAGATTGACAGGTCTGGATATTATAGATTTATTAACCATTGGTTACATGGTCAGAGTTAGTGTGGAAAACACTTCTACAATATCCTCTAGACTAGACTAGAATGAACAATTTCTACAAAGCCTGAGGTAGGCAAGAATTAAGGTTACATTAAAAAAGCAGACGTGTTTTATTTCACAGTGATTCTTTTCTAAATAGAAACGTTATACATTAAACATAAAAATATGAAGTGGAACTCAAAGAAGAAAATGTCAAAATGCTTGGAAATTTAAAAGAAGGCTTAAAAATTTACTAATCTAATCCTGCAGTATGTTGTTTCATCATTTTGAACACGGGGTCTTGGAACCTAGTGAATGTTTGAGCAAAATACATTCTAAGAAGGAATTATTAAAGGCAAAGATAATTGTCTGAAAAGAATCATCACTATCTATAGAATATTATACAGACCGGAAAATGTATGCCAATCATATAAATTACCTCCTTTAATCTTTACAGCCTACATGTAGGTACTGTCATCATGTCCATTTTATAGATGGAGATAAATGAGACTCAGAAAAACTGACCCGTTTAAGGTCAGCTAATAGGTGACACCACTGGGATATGAATCCTGATTTTCTCATTCATTTTACTTTCATTGTCTTAAAAGAAGGATGTTTTCAATTCCTCACTGGGTGTGAAGTCTTCAGATTAGCAATGGCAACTTATGTGTGTAATGTTAAAACGACAGGTAATTATGAAACTTCCTGGTCACATGGCTAGGAAACCATCAACTTGGCTTACCATCCTGGACTTTCCCTCATTTCTCTTTGAGAATTTGGATTGTAGAAGACCCTGGTCTGAATTTGAGAACTCTCCAGTCAACAGGAGGAATCTGGTCTTAGAACGGTTCTATTCTGCCTTATTTTACCTTGTGGTGCAAAAACACCACACCACTATAAGAATGCCAAGGAGAAATACGCTAACAGGTTGCAAGATAGCAATGCTCTTCCATGAAAGTAGAAACCAATTCTGTAAAAGTATCCGTAAATTTGTATATTTTACACAGCAGAAGATTTGTGTTTTCCTCCATTGAAATTAAGAACAGAGATTAAGAATATCTGTGCTTCTAAAACTCAGATAAAGATTACAGTGTTTTATGACACGTGCTGGCACTACTGAATATTTATTTATCTTTTATTTAATTTAAAATGTTGGATATTTATTTTAAAACAAAGATGGATGGATTGCTTTATGTTTAATATCTTAGAGCAACTTAAATTTTTCTTCACTTCTCAAGCTCTGGAGAGATTTTCTTCCATGAGTTTGACCAAAAAAAGACCCTTTTGTCTTCAATCTTAGATTACAGCATCAGAAGGATGTTGGTTTATGAGAATTTAAGCTTTATATATTAGGCCTTTATGTCATCTTTATGACTACATGACCTGTTTTGACTGAGATAACTTTTCAATTCAATGAAAAATATGCCTTTGCTAATTATTTTATGGAATGGATCTGCTGATGGCCAAAATGGCTATTGATGAATTATTTTCACTTCCATATTGAACTGTGGCTAAACTTATCCTGATGGAAACAATAAGGGTTTGTTTCAATTTCATCTTAAAACTAGGCATTAAAAATGAAATCACATATCTTTGAAGTGCATTTACCACCTTAACGGGTTTTAAATTTTACTAAAACGAAACCTCCATATGTCCCTTATGTTACAAGACAGAGCAAGCAGGGTTCACTCTCATCCTTACTCCACAGTGTTAATGCAATCAGAATTTTCCCTGAAGATGATGCTTACATCGAAATATAATAATGCGTTAAACCACAAAAGCAACCCACTAGTGGCTAAATGGCTCAATGGAGGCTATGCAGCTTAGAGAGGCAAAATTCAGCTACCATAACTGGTCACAACCCAAGGGCAAATTGGGCTATTGTCTTTCTGAAGTCCCCGTTCACTGCTATAATTTAAAGGGAATCATATAATGCCAATGATCCAATCTAGGGAGTCTTATAGAAATGAATGTTCAAGGTAATTCAGACCGATACGACTTACCTTGGATATATACGAATAAGAAGTCATATTTTAGACTCTGGTACTTGAAAGAAAGTATTGTTTTGATAGAAAAGAATGTATCTATATATTTTTATCACTATATCTACAGCTATCTGTATCTATACGGATGTATGTAGATACTTATGCATGTATACACTCTGCAGTGTGGTTGGGATTATTCTGTCTATATTTATCAAGGAGACAGCTTATACTCTTCCAACTTACCAAATTCACATTTCCATCCTTATCTCCAATTAATTTCCTCTAAAATGTTTTACATACACACACACACACACACACATTTTATTTCTTTACCTGGTGGGCTCCAAGCTACAAAAATGGAATAAGGCCCGATTACTGTGATATTATACGGAGGCTGGATTTCTTCCGGCGTCAACAGAGGTGTTTGTACAATGTGCTCATCACTAGGACTGCTGCCTCCTCCAGTAGTGGCTTCCAACCTGTAACTGTATCTATATTTAAAGAGAAAGAATTGTTATAAGACAAGGCCAAGAGAACTGAACAATGATTGCTGGCTTTTCTATCCATTGCTTAGTCCCAAATTTGTGACAGATTGAAAATTCTTTGCTCCCTGTCCAGAAACTTTACCATCGACTTGGTAGTTTTTCTAGCTTGGGCAGCATTCTCTCCTGTCACTATTTCTGCCCTCCCCCCATTTTTTTTTTAACCCTCTAGCAATTCATTGCTTTTCTTAGAGGTTTCAGGAAAGTCTTGGAGTGTGCTAGTGGATTGCGGAGGATTCAAATTAATCTTCCCCATTTTTAAATGGGTTGGAGTTCAGGAAAATATGTTTAGAGGAAGCTGTTTCTAAATTGATCTGCTGCTCTCTACAATAAAACTAAATTGATCTCTACTGTCAGCAATAAAACATCTGTTGATCTAAGATATATTGCGTCTCTGCTGAGAAATGAATGGGAATGAATTGCAAATAGGTGGAACTTTTTCCCTAAAACCACTCATGTCTATATCTACTGGAGCAAGTAGAGAAAACATTACATCAAAAGAAAAGGTAGTTGATGTAAAACAAAACTCTCTAAATCTCTTTTATTGCTATTTTAGGAATTCACGTTTTTGAAGATAATATGATAATTTTTAAAGCTTAATACTTTGTATATTTTATATATGTAAAAATTCTTGTGCTTTCATGTCAGACAGAAGACTAATTATTTATTTATATTTTTAAGGAATTTCACATACTCTGAAGACTGATGTAACAAGTTAGCATTGGGCTCTTCGACGTCTGAAATGGATTAAAAGATCTCATCAGACATGGAACAGCTAATAAGTGACGAGATTAATTAATTAATATTGTTTCCATTGGAGACGTGCTCTTTTTAAACTCTGAAAAATCTAAACATCTAACTGTGTGGTTGATAAAGTTTTCTTTTCGTTTACCTGCTGTTGGGCTCCAGGTTTTTATCAGTGAAATTCTGTTCCTCACTGCCACCCAGGAAAACCAAGGTTCCATTACGACTCAATTGATACTGAGAAATGAGGCCATTGGGGTTTTCTGGCGGACTCCAGTATAATTCCACTGTTGTAGAATTGATGATAATGTGTCGAGGTGTCATCCAAACTCCTGGCAAAAATAATACAACGAGGTTTTATTGTTAGGATAAAATAAACCCCCTCTCAAAAATCACACCATCACCTCACATACTACGATACTTTTATCTGTTGATAAAAAAATCTCACGGTGAGCCACAAAAATACATTTATTTCCTTTGGAGGTGGAATACATAATTGGGCATAAATATTTTTTTATTGCTTTGATGATTTTATTTTTGAAAGTGAATGCCTTTTAGAAAGTGAATGTCAGACAACTCTCTGGATTGAAAGTAAATTTTTATTTAGTAGAGGAAAATTTCTCCATTGTGGCTGTCACTCTGCATGTAATCAAGACCTGAGAGACTATCCAGGGATTTTTGAACTTTATGCCTATTTGCTTGGAATATGTAGAAACAATCATAATCTAGGATTTACCTGAATTATCAAATTCAACAAATAAGCTTACTTTCCCTTTGCCCCTCTGACATCACGTGCTGTGGTTCTTTTCCTCCTTTCTCTCTGGCTGTTCCTCCCAGCCTCATTTACTGGCTCCTTTTCCCCAGTTGGACCTCAAAATGACTAGTGTCTCAGAGACCCAGGCTCTCTCTTTTCCCTTTCTCTCCCTTCTTCTCCTTTCCTTTCTTCTTTTCCAACACTCACTTTCTAGGTGAGATCTCCGTTTAGTCTCAGTTTTGAATGTCATCTATATGCTGACCACTCCCACATATATATCTCCAGACTACAACTCTCTCCTGAGCTTCAGACTCGTGCATCCAACTGTCTACTGGACACCTCCATTTGGAGGACTAATTATATACCAAAAACTGACAACATCCAAAACAGAACTCTTGGTTTTTTTGTCTACAATCTATTCATCTCCCAATGTTGTCCATCTATCCATTTTCTTGGATAACAAAAAATTATCCTTGAGGTTTTCATTTTTTCTCACACCTAAATGTACTCTATTATCACATCTTGTAGATTCTACCCTGAATATATATAGTTCTCTACATCTTCACTGCTGCCTTTCCTGATCCAAGCTATGTTTCTCTCTCTCAGACTCCTGTCATAGTCTCTAAACTGGTCTCCGTGTTTTAAATCTTGTCCTTCTCTATTTCATTGTAATCTTTGTAAAAGTATATAAAGTATATATGTAAGCCCATGTACTCTTTATGAAATATACAACCCCTTTGAAGTTATTCATATAATAAAACTCCAATTCCTTATGACAACCTGTATGGTCCTATATTTTTCTGGCTCCATTTTCTCCATCATTCATGAAGCTCCAGCCACTCCAGACTTCTTTCTTTCCCCAGAATGCTTCCAGTTCTTTCCCACTTCTGAGCATTTGTGCTTCCATCCCCTCTATCTAGGACACTTTTGCTCATATCACCATGATATTTTTGCATTTTATTTTCATAGTTCAGTGACCTGGTAAATATGTTATTCGACCACCCTCCCCAACTATAACTTTAACTATCTAAAGTGATCCCAACCTTGTTCCTCTCTATCATACACCATTTTGTGTGTGTGGGTGTGAGAAAGATCGGCCCTGAGCTAACATCTATTGCCAATCCTCCTCTTTTTGCTTGAGGAAGATGGTCCCTGAGCTAACATCCTTGCCAATCTTCCTCCACTTTGTATATGGGATCCCGCCACAGCATGGCTAGATGAGTGGTGTGTAGGTCTGTGCCCAGGATCTGAACCCGTGAACCCTGGGCTGCCAAAGTGGAGTGCATGAACTTAACCACTGCACCATCAGGCTGGCCCACTCATATGCCCTTTTTAATTTTGCTCTTGATACCCATAAAATCATAACCATTCTTCTTTCTTTGATATTATCATTATTTTTATGTTGTTATGACTGTGTGGTCTACTTCTTTGTCTTGCTTCAATACAAAGTTAGCTCCATGAGGGCCGGGATCTTCCCCTTCTCATTTGTCAATGTATCTTTGTGGCTAGCACAATGCCTAATAAATACTGAATGAACAAATTTATTGCAAATATATATCCTGCAAATTACTATGTTAAGTACTCTAGGCAGTTCTATGGAATGAAAATGTGATTAAGATGTGGCTTATTCTTACAAGGAGTTACTCTTCTGTATAAAAGATAAAATATATACACAAACAGCTGTAATTCAAGGTCAAACATTAAAGTGCTCTTATAGACATACAAACATATTGATGGAGAACCTAGCAATGAGAAAGATCAATCCTACCATTTCATGTTGTCATCTGGGGATGCTCTGAATAGACACTGTAACCCTCTCCTTCAGCTTTTAAAAACTCATTTCAATATTAGGTTCCCTGTAATCAATAGTTTTGGGTTGATTGTATCTCCAGTGTAAGTTCCTCAGTAAAGGCTAAGATTTCCACACTTTCAAAAGAAAAATTTTCAGGATATTTAAATGCAATTTATTTAGCAACATCCTGAAAGAATCAAATAAATTTAAAAACGGCTCAAACTTAACTGATTTTCTAAGGAACAGCTTATTCCAGAGAAGAAAGTAGTTCATTTTGTTTTGAAAGCTCACTCTATGTTAGATTCTTGGACAAATCCACAAATCATAGTGTACATTTATGGCTGGGTTTCTCTGCCAAAGGCAGCTGGACGATTCAACCAATGAATTAACACTTCATGTTAATTTGTGGATTTAAGAGACAAAGTATAAAGGTTTTGTTTATAATCTGCTTCCTGCAGTCATGTCTTTTCTCACGTTGAAGGGTATATTAAAAATCCCCAAGGTACTAGCAAGACTATTTCTTAGTTTCCACTTTTGAATCAGTCAATGCAGCCTGTGGATACAGAGGAGTTAATGAAATAAAATGAAGCAACATTTTGGGTTTGCTTCGTGTTTAAAATAAAAGTTGAGTTTCATATTTATACAAGCTGGTGAAAGCTCTGTTCACAAAGGTAATCAGCTTGTGTCCATTGGTTTGGTTATAAGGTGAAACTGAAATGTGTAAAAAACTGATAAGTGCTGTGTTTTTATTTGCATAATGACATGGAGACACTGTTATCTTGGCAGCTGCAAGAAATCTTTGATAGACTAAGACCCACCATTGGTGAGATGAGTCTCAGGCGGAGAACCGGCCTCCCTCTCTGAGCCTGAGTCTCAGGGGACATCAGAAACCTATTCCACATAATAGAAGTGCAGAGTTTAGACAGTTCAAGGAAAAGGAATGGATGGTCGGAGGGAAGCCATCTAGAAAGGAGATGGGGAACAGGTAAACTAGCTGAGAGGACTAAGAGGGAACAGTCAGAAGGAAACCTTGGTGGGTCTCTTGACATAATAGCTACCAACAAACACAAAACAAAACGTGTCTACTGGATTTGTTTTAAATTTGTCTTGAGTGCGATGCAATATTACCCACTTCTGATGTCCTATAAATCTTCATTCCAGTTCAAAAATCCCAGTATTTATTGTGGATTGGCTTTCTGTTGGAAGCTAGTGAAGGGAACCAGTTCTGTATTGGCTGATGCCAGGGATGCATTACTTCTGGACTATTTATTATTTGTTAATTTATTCATTCAATGTTCTCCCCAGTTATGTGTCATTTTCTGCACTGGGCACTGTGGATGTGGGGATAAAGACATACAGTCTTTACTCTTCAAGGAACCCATAGTATCATGGTAAATAAAGACTAATAAATAAAAATTTATAATCCAGTTTAATAAATGCTTTAAGAAAAGAAAGCATAGTGTGCTACTAGAGCATTTAGGAAGGGTTCCCCAACATAGACTGGGGTGAGATGGGGATAGATGGGAAGTGGAGGTGATCATAGGAGAAGATTTCCAGAAGGGGAGACACGTAGGCCAAATTTTACAAAAGTGAGAGTTAGCTGAGTGAGAATGTACAGAAGGGTGTCTAAGGTGAGGAGAACCCACATCAAGTCCTAGAGACATGGGAAAGTAGAGTAGCACTACAAGAATATCAACATGACTGGCACATTGAATGGCATGTGGGGAAGACCAAAAGACTTGACAGATTGGCAGAAGCTAAAACTTGAGGGGTTTATTTTGCTTTACTAAGAAGATGTGGATTTTTTTCCCCTGGAACAAAATGGGATCCTATGCAGGTGACTAATGTGAGATGTACTTATTTTGGCAAAAGAGGAAAAAGAATTGAGATGGGGATATGAGAAAGTGGAGAAATGACTAGAGGTAGGGAGACTAGTTAAGAGTATCCAGAGAAGTTATAGGAGTCTGAACTAAGGCAATGCCAGAAGGGATGGCAAGGAAGAACAAATTTTTAAAAAATCCTTAAGATTGAAAATTAATAAGATTTTACAAAGAATTGCGTACTACAACTTAAGGAAAAGAGAAGCATTAAGAATGTCAATTTGGTGCTTGTGTTCTTGCAAGGAAGAGAAGTAAGTTGGGGAGTGAGGAGAGAGATTTTAAGTGTTGAAATACTGAGGTTGAAGTATTTGCAAAACACCTAAATATAAACATCTAGCGGATGGTGGACACACAGGCCTTAAATCCATAAATGTGGCCATTGTGAGAGCTGTAGAATTTGATAGCTTTCAACTTTCATTAGGAATTAAAGCCAATCCTTGAAAATTCCAGAGGAGACTATAGAGTTACAAGTGCAAAGAATAGTGAAAGCATCTAGAGGAATGTCAATAGTTCAAAGAAAGGCAGAGGAAGAGGAATCTGGAATGAAACTGAGAAAGATTGGTCTTCTTTCGTTTTTCTTTCCACATTATCAATGCTAGAGGATGCAATTTTGCATGACTGAACTCTACAATGAATTAGAGCTTGCTGGTACAGCAGCAATTCTAAAAAGAGAGAGAAATAATCCAATTCGAACTCTTCCCACTGTTTGACTAAAGGTACACATGAGGATAAAATTGTAGAGAATTATGTTCAACTTATCAAAGAGGTCATAATAAGCATTAACTTTTTTTTTTTTTTTTGATTGCAAATGAGAGAGATGAGAAGAGCTCAGGGGGGCTATGAAAAAATGCTTCTTTTAACTCTCTCCATATCCACTTAGGACACTCAAATGTGAGACCTTCAAATTATGTCTGATTCACTCAAATAGGCATTTTATAATTAGTTATATTTAGGTCATTAATTAAAAATGGCAAATATTTCCGTTTTACAGTAAAACAACAGAACTTAATGTTACTGTTGATTTGTTTTTTTACAACCTACAAGTTAAGTACTCAGACTATACTTATTTCACATACAAGTTATTCACAAATGGCACTTACACAGCCAGAAAATGGCTTCTAAATCCATGTTGTTCTACAGAGAAAAGCCCATTTGTTTTATCATTCTTTTGTACAGTTATTTGTGTTATAGGAAAGGTGCATATAGTTAAAAAAAGAAATCAAGTAAAACATTTCCCATCTCACACTCCTCTGCACTATTGAAAGCTATAATTTTTAAGTCATGAAATCTGAGCTCTTTCATGAAAATTTTTTTGAAAGTAGATGCATATTTTCTAAGAATTTAAATATGTGGATTTGATGCGTAAACTGGAGCAAGAGACCCTGTTATTTTATCAAGCTTGGGTTTCAGCCAAAACTGGTTGATAGATCCTTTAGAAATTATCCATTATCATCAAAGTATCCATTTGATAGTTTACCTTTCCAAAAAATCCACTGCTGGTTTCTTCCTTTCAAAGGAACACTAAGCTTTTTGACATGAAACATTCTTTATATAGAAAACATCATTAGTGAATTCCTGGTGAGGAGCCATATGCCCCATATGTGGAATTTTCCATTTTATTCCCCATTTACTGGTAGGAAGTTCAGGTCTAATATTCTGAGGTACAACAATTCCTTTCATTTGAAGAGTAACGGACATGTAGTTCAGGTCTCTCTGATGGCAATTAACATATTTCCCTTTAGAAACTTATTGTGCCTCTGTTTCCCCACATGGAAAATAGGCAGATAATAAAGATTAACCAAATAATTAGTTAATCCCTAGCCCAAGCTTCTGAGCATATTTCTTTCCTAAAAGTAAGTGATACCACCCATCCCAGTTGCCCAACCAAAAGGAACCATTGTTATACATTGGATGTGTATACTTCCAGAATTTTTTCTATTCATTTATTTATCTATAGAAATGCATATCATTTTCTATGTGTGTTTTTATACATAAAACATACCACATATTAATGGCATTCTATAACTTCCTCTTCATATGTATGGATCATCTCATTCTTTTAAACTGATGCATAGAATTCCACAATGGGAATCTATCTGAATTTATTTAGCAATTCCCCTTCTCATGGATATTTAGATTGCTTCCACCATTTTACCATTGAACAAACGAATGAAACATGATTCAATAAACATCCTGGTATACGCCTCCTTGTGCAATTGTAGAAGCATTATTTTCTGGCACAGATAATGAAAATTAAATTGATGTGTCATGGAGAATTCACAGTTTAAATTTAATAGACCTTGCCAATTTACCTGCCAAGGTAATGGTCCCACTTTACACCCCCTCACACTGTATTTGATTGTACATCTTGTCCATTTGTCAAAATCCTTGCTCCTTGTGGTCCATTTCAGAAGTCACCTGATCCATAAAATCTTTCTGGATGTCCATGGTGGGTTGTAATCTCTCCCTCCTGTGCTTAAGCTGAGCATTCGTTCATTTGTTCTTCTTAACATCGCCTTTCAGATTCTCTCTCTTCATAAAAGTTTGGGTACTTATCCTATCATTTCTACTTGACTGTAAGTTCTTGAGGGCAATGAACATTTCAGCCAACTTCAGCAGTGAACCTGGTGCTTGTTATATATTAGGCACTCCAGATAGATTTAACTTTTGATTTTTTGAGGAGTTTCATATCCAAGTATATAACAATATATCCATATTTTTTTTTTCGCAGAAAACCAAACCCAAAAGGTTTAAAGAATTGAAAGCAAACATTCTCTTGGAAGGCTTATAGTTTTACCAAACCTGAAGAATGGGAACCTAGAAGATTATTTTATTTTGTACCTATCAACTTTATTCCTTCTTCTTTGCTTGAAAGGAAAGAGTTCCTGGAGTTCACTTCAAAATGCCATATGAAAACTTCATCTCCCAAGTCATGGGTATTTTTTAATTACCTTGAGGGGCTGCCTGCAGAGTCTGACCTAGAAAAGGCTCACTGGAAGCGCATCCAGCAGATGTACAAGCTGTAAGTGTGAAGCTGTAGTTGGTGTATGGCTGGAGACCTAGAAAGAGCAAAGAAGAGATAAAGCACATCTTGAGAGGGTTATTTATTATCAATGAAGCCCCAGAAGGAACATGCAGAGTTGCAGATATGATATCCAAAAATTTTTAAGAGCAGAAAACACTCTCGAATGGAGATAGGGACTTCCTTAGCAGCTCAGCACTAACAGAAATTTCATTTATCACTGATAAAATAACAAATTCTCTGCCTTAGAAGAGATCTTAAAATTTGTGTAATCCGTCCATCCATCTTTCTCTGGATTCCCCTGTACAACATGTCACTGGAGAGGCTGTCCTGCCTAGGCGATTGGAATACTCGGTCTCCCAATGAGCCCATTCCACCTTTAGAAAGCTCTAGAGCTCTCCTTTTGTTCAAAAGTCCTTCCTTATATTGTGGTGAACTCTTTCTATCACTTCCACCCCTAGGGACATGTAGAACAAATCTAATTTCTTTTCCACGTGACAATTCTTCAAATATCTGTAGACAGTTATCAAATCCCCCTTGAACCGTCTCTTCTCCAGGCTAACCAATCCACTTTCTGCAACTGCTTCTTAGATGCATAAGGGTGGAAAAAATAAAAAGAAAGTTCGAGTCAACAGTTTTTAACCCCAAGCCATATTCAGCTCATATTAACACCAGCGAACTCTTTTTTTTTTTTTTTAAACTTTGTCTTCCTTCACCACGTGTGCCCATACTGGACCACCTCACACTTTGCTTCTGTAGTTTTTAGGGTACATTGGTTGTGTCTTTACACATAGACTAAATATAATTTGATGAGGGCATAGTGCTTATTACTTCTTTTGTATTCACAATATGATACAGCCCAATAACTACTTAATAAGTTTGCAGGGAAAAAAAGGAATGATAATCCATTTACAAGAGAAGTTGTATGTTGTTAGACTTCGCCAGTCCGTGGCTGGTGACTTTGGGCAAGTTACTTAGCTTCTCTTTGCCTTGATTACTGATCTGTAAAATGGGGAATCGTCCAGCTTCTAAGGCCGTTAAGAAGATGAAATGGGTTCCTTAGAGTTGTACTTTGTTTTAGCAGAAGCAACCTTAAGACTCAGTAGCATCAACAAGGGGTATAGTGAAGCTAACATTTTTTGCCTTGATTATTGGGGGAATTCAAACAATGCCAAAACTTCACATTTATTTTCTTTAAAATAGGACTTAGTCTACATGTCAAATAATTGTGCTAAGTTATAACATGGATCTAATGATTATTGTACCTGTTTTTCACAATTTTGAACTACATTTTTACATACTTTGTTCTTTAGGTGAAGTGACTTTTTCTCCACACACATTCAGTGTCACTCTGTCACTTTATGCAAATTTCTGCCCAAATACATTTATAAAATTTTGACCACTCTGTCTACACGCTACACCCAGCACTTTTTATCCCCTCAAATTACTTTCTTCTTTCATAGTCTTCAACATTATCCAATGTTTTATTATGTCTGTTTATTTATTGTTTGTCGCCCCCATATGATGCAAGCCCTAAAAGAGCAAGGCCATTGTTTTGCCTACCACTGTATCCTTCCAATAGTGACAGGCACCACGTAGATGCTTGTTAAATGAATGACAAAATTAACTACCTGGTTCATTTAGAATCTGGTTTCTCTGCCACAGCAATAATTTTCTGTAGCTGGAGCTGCTCCAGGATTCAGCTTCAAAGCCCTTTGTGTCTCCTTATCACTTTAGTGATAAGATGGAGATACTTATTTGATTGTAATCTTCCATTTGGTTGCTATGGAGGATTTACATAATTTTGATATTTACCTGCCTTACAGATGAGAAATATGATGAAAGATCTAAGCCATACCCAAGCCATGTACATTTGATAAAAGCTTATGGGAAAATGCTAAAGATTGCAAAACATAGGGCTCAAAAGAAAACGGAAGGAAATATCCAATTTCCTGAAGGTCAGAGATGGCAGTGGCAAGCTGATTTAGCCTGACGGTGTCCCCTCATTACTTCCACTGCTAAAAAATGGGGTCCTAACCCTTGTAACACCATTTCAGCTGAATAGCTTACTTTCTCACTTAGAACGTAAGCCCTTTGAGAGTAAGGATGGCATCTTCGAGTATTTTTTTTGAATTATTATTATTTTTTCCCAATAGTGCCTATTTTAGGTGTTCAATGTTTGTTAAATATTATTTAAAGAAGACTGAGCCCATAAAAGTGCTCCATAAGGACGTCAGGGCTACAAGGCTATGATATTCATGATATTCATCATGAGTGTGATTTGATCAAAGAGGTCCTTCCTCAGAATTCCTTAGGTACCCCTCCCCACAGCATCTACTTCACTGAGTAGGAGATTATTCTCTAGTTGCAGAGTATTATTAAAATAACAACAAAATTAATATAATTCATGAACTATAAATATTTTATAGATCTTTTCTGAATGCCAGACTTAAGTATGGCTGGTAAGAGTGAAGCAATACTTGATTTTTTTCTGGAATATTCTGACCAAAAAAAAAACATAAAAAGCCCCCATGCTCTTCCTCATTTTGTGTTCTGGCTGGTCTGGTTTCAGACATGCAGTGACTTTTGAAGAACATATTAGGATGGGTCTTAGGGACGGAAGAGAAAACTTGTCATCACAGAGGTACACTAAGGTTGGTTAGAAGATTGAGGGTATTTGTAATGAGGATAGTAGTTACAAAGAAAATTAATGTATATAAGAATAGAAATCGTCCTTTCTTTATAAAATCTTTCTGGAGCGAGTTGATTGACATCCATTTTATATATAACCCAGAACACTAGAAGACAGCTGTTGAGAGATGGTACAGCAGTGGAACATCTAACCCTTTAGGAATTTTTGATAGATGAGGAATGTGTGCCAAAGGTGTTTGTTACCAATGTATAAATTGGATGGGATGGGTTGCCTTAGCAGAATATGGGGCCGGGGCTAGTAGAGGAATACGTCTCTTGAAGCTACTGGAGTACCAGAATCAAGGGGTGGATGTAGAACTGAGCATTGAGTAGAAGACCTGGGTCAGGAAGTCAGAAGAGTTCAAAGACATCACCAAATCAAGAGGAGAGAACGTGGTGAACTGGAGAAAAGAGACAAGGACTGAAGAACCAGAAAGGTGTGAGTGGAGACATGAGACCTCAAGTGAAGGAGGGCAGGAGGATGGACTTAGTCTAATTCATAGGCAGTTTATCCTTAAGAGCTGTGTCTGCCCCTGAAATGTGGGCATGCTGGCCAATTTTAAGGGCTATATGGGGCAAGGGTGGAAATACTCAGGCTCATTTCAAATGACATTTGTCAGCTTGTGTCATGCAACTCCACATCTGCTATATCCACCCTCAAGAGTCCATTCAGATTTCTTTTTATAACAAAACTCAAATTTCCTTGGAGAAACCAGCCTTCTGACCACCATCAATGTTTGTGCTTTGTTTAGAGTTGACTCTGCCTAGATTGAGAAGTGTACATGTGACCCAGGCCTGGAAACAGCTCCACATTCCTTTTGCAATGTTATCAGCTCGGAATTGAGTCTGTGACCTCATTCAGGCCAGTGAAAGCTACGCCTTGAACCACAACTTTGATTTTTCCTGCTGTTTGTTCTTCTTTAACCACATAGAGCTTCAGAATGGAGGAGAGCTCGGAGATGAAAAGAAATTGGCTCCTGGAAACATCATTTTGTAGCCTTGAGTCAGCCATGCCCAAAGTCCACACTTGACTGTTTAGTTTCATGAGCCAATAAATGTCCATTTATTAAGCTTGTTTGAACTGAGCTTTCTGTAACTTGCAAGAAAAAGAGTTCTAAATAATACTATTATGATAATTACTAAAAATGTCACTTGCCTACCCACAGGTTCAGAATCTTGTATGTTACACATGGGGACCATCAGGAGCTGTTATTACGCTGTCCTAGGTGGTCTGTCTTTACACAAGCTAGAAAGAGTTATAAGATAATGAGAGAGAGAATTAGCAGCAACATGAAAAGGTTTGGAGAAAGGTGAAGAAGTTTCACCCTGAATAACACTGAACAAGAATTATTATTCACGCCTCACAGGTGGGAAAACTGAGGCTCAGAGAACCCAATAATCACACAGTGAATAAGTGATCGGCCCTGGTAGGAGCTGTAGGGGAGGAGAACTATTTCTCTACCCTCTAGATCCTTCTGGCTGACCTAAGAATTAAACTGACATGAGACAGAATAACAATAACATGCATACATGGGAGAAAACCAGGAAAACTGAGGAACTTGAAAAAATGGCAGAAATCACCACCTTCAATACCATTTTCAGCTAAAGACAAAGGAGGGTGTTGGAGGTAGCGGTTTGGGACTTCAAAGGAGAGGAAGGCAATTCACATGGAGATGGAAAAGCAAATGCTTGGTAAACACATGTTTGCTGAGCCATCTGTAGACAATGTGACCCAAGAGAGACAACTTTGATAAAAATGAGCTTAGCAAGGATCCTCCCAGTCTACCAATACCCAGAGTTATCTATGATGGTGGCCTGTCCTGGGGACAGGGCTTCTATCTTAAATTCTTTTAGACAGGAGGAAGGTCAAAGTTTCTTTCAGAGTCTTTTGTCCTTAAAAATAACCAAGCCAAAGAGATACATTTTGGGGTGGCCAATTTTGATCCCCCACAGAAGAAACTCATGACTTTAACACCAAGCCTTGTGCTCTCTCTGTCACGTATGAACTACAGCCAGATACATTGAAATTTTTTAATGAGTGCCTTTCCTCCGAAGATTAAACAGCATCTGAAGGACTTCAAAATGGTAGAAACCATTGTAGCTATTCTTGAAATAAAAGAAATATGCTAAAATGATCTGGTTCAAACAAAGTCAATACAAAAACTATAAATTAAAAGAAAAAATGAAACTCAGGGGCCTTTATTGTTCCATTTTTACTCCTCTTTTAGCTGGACTTTATACATTAATTAAATATATTTTATGAGAAATGCAGCTATTTTCAAGGAAGTCAGTTACTAGATTAATAAATAACCTATTAGCTAAAGTTTACTAAACACCCACTGCTTG